CTCTGAGGGGAAAAAAAGTAAATCTGGAGGTGCTACATGCTGAGAATCAGCAGAGACCTTAAGGGGAGCAAGCCTGGCAACTGTCCTTCAGAAGCAAACTGTATAGGTAATAAGGTTGGGAAGGAAACAATGTGATTTGTACAGAAATCATTCTGGGTCACTCTTGAATACACCTCAATCATCATAGAGTCACCACTAAGAGACGTTTTGGAACATCCTGACACACTGGACTCTGAGAGAGTTGGAGTTCTCACTTTAGGATGCATCCTCCTCCTTTTCCTCTGCTTTCTCTGTTATTAGCACACTCCTGAATGCCCTGTCTGGTCAGAAACAAGGTCCTGCATGTCTATGTACTTCTCTTTACCCTGTTACTAATATGTTACTTCCTTCCCCCGCCATCCCTGCTTCTTTAAGTATTAATCTTTCTACCTTCAATAATTAACTCTCTGTATTGACACTTCATGATACTTTTTTTGGCTAAAATTTTGCAGTTTGCATTTTTGTCATAATACAAGGAATAAAATTTTACCTATTCTCTTCTATCCCTACAGTACTTTCCCAAAGTTTTGTAAAGGAAAAAAAAAAGCTTCAATTATTAGATAGTGAATCTCCCTGAACTCTGCTATAGTTAAGACAAATACTTAGGAATATATGTCATTCATAGCTGTGTGGCATATAAACAAAACTAAATTATAATTCCATATTTTATAAGATCTAAATATTTACATAAAGACTTTTGCTTCTGAACTTTGGATATATTTCCCCTAGAACTTGCTGTGTGCATGCATTCAAGGTTTACTATAAAGCAAAAGGTCCCACATTTTCAGTTCAGTTATCTTCTATGACTTAAGTTTGTTTCCTTTGTCTTCTTGAAATTAATGACATTGCTTGCTAATCTTACACCCTGAAGAGAGCCACATCTTTGGTTCACATTCACATATCAATTACTGTTTAATTATGTGAATATCTTGACATTATTTATTTTTCATATTTTAATTTCTCAACTGTTATTACTAGACAATAAACATTTCTTGTGTAAAGATCAATAGCATTAACCCAAATAAGCCTGGAATACTAGCTAGTTTCATAGGTTGTTTGGAAATTCAAGAGATAAAATCAGTATCACTATTTAAGGCCAGTGTCAAACACCCTTGTATATAAACAAGAGTTTAAACAAAGATTTCAGTATGACTCCTTTTTATCCAAATCTTGGACACATAACTTAAATTCAGCATTTTAAGTGATAGGAAGTAGATTCCTCTGTAGTGAAATTTGACACGGTTCCTATCAGGGATGTTTGAGGACCCATATTAAAGACCCTTGAAAAGTGTGACATTGGACAAATGTTGGGCAGCCAGTTACTTTGTGGACTCACAAAAGTCGTGATGTCAGGAACCCTGGGAGAGCGCTTAGTAAGGTGGGCTTCCTAACAAATGCCACAGAACACTTAGACTCAGGCAGCCATTTCCCCAGGTGCCCTCTGTCTCTGCCTAGAAGTTAGACCTCACCATCCTGAAGTTTCCCCTTTATATAACTGAAGCATCATATTCAAGGAAAAGTCCAATGCCATAATTCAATCAGAGATCGCTTATTGGAAATTTTCCTACCATGCATTAGTAGAAAATTCTTATCTTTAAACTTGTTTTTCTGTCCACTAGGACATTCTTTCTTAACCACTGTCCTTAATTACTGGAGATCTCAACTGACTCTGGGTACAGTTCTGGTACCTACATGTACTTCTTTACAGCAAAAATTGTATTTTTCATGTTTTGAGATTCACACTAGCTTGCAATTGCTGGGTAGCATAATTTTGCTATGTGCATTTGTCCTGATTTGGTTAAGGAAGATCCTTTTTGTTAAAGGAGTGCAGTCAGATTGAGAGGAGAGAGGCCTGGAATACATCACTTGGGTAAATCATACCTGACCTCCTTCATGTTCGTTTCCCTACTCAGCCAAGTTCTCATTGTCAGCTGTCTCCTTGCTTGTCTCCTCTGCACCCCAAGTGTAAAATGTCAAAGACAAACAGCTGAAGACAGAGGTGGCCAGGTTGCTATTCTGCGGTGGTTGGCAGTATGGTTTTGGTTTATTTTGATATAATGACAAATGAACATAGATTGTGCTTTTAAATACTCCAGCCTTTAGCTCTTATACAGCATCAGATCAGGTTGCCATTAGGTAGTGAATAAATGCTAGATTGGTGGCATCGGGACCAGGAGGGCAGTGGTTTTATACCAACACATTCTAGTCTCCAAACTGATTAGAAATTTGCTTGATATTTTCTCTCAGAAGAAAGGCGAAGTATTAACAAACAAAGGTTCTGTTTATTATCTTGGTATTAAGGCATTTGCCCAGGACCCTCATAGAAGAAACTAGTTAACCTGATGTGCATATGGATTTCTAAATTTCCCAGTGGGGAGGTCAGTGACCATATATAAGGTCTAATCTCTAAAGTGATTTTACTTAATAAATTTTTAAACCTTCTCTTTTAGTATTTTTAAATCCAAGCTGCTAAACAGGATTCAATGGGCTTCAGATTTTTTGCTTATTTCATCTTAGTGCCATTTGACTTGTTAGAAATGACTAAAGATCAAAATTTGAGTAGGCAACAAGAGAAGGTGTGGAAGCCAAGACTTGGATAATCCATCTCCAAATTATTAGTCCTTTAAAGATTACCAATATTTATTTTGAGAAACTATTAAAATTTTACTTCCTCCAAAGTTGAACTTCAAGAATATTTGACTGTCATTTAAATGACCAAATGCATGAGTTAGTCATGTAGTGAAAAGAATTACTGAACAATACAGGTTGTTTTTTTTTTTAACAATACATTTTGTTCATAATGTATCTTTTTACCTAGACCAATTCCCTTGTTTGTTACATGTTCTTTGGAGCCCAGTTTTAGTTTCTTCCTTCTTCCCAATAGCCTGGTAGGATCTCTTTTGCCAAGAAGTAAGAAACCTGGATTTCACAGCAGGGGGAAACTTCCTTGAATTATAATAGTATTGTATCAGAGTGTGAAGTGCTTACTTCACACAGGCAACTATTGCCAACTCATGGGGATTTTCTTCTAAACAAAGGATCTAACATCACACACAAGAGGCAAAAATGCAGAGCAGATTACTTAGGGGCAAGCTGCCAGCCTGTGCTGCCAAGCAATGGCTAGGCAAGGAAGGAGAGCCTGGAGCCATATACAGATGCCCAGTTCTTCACAACTTTGTGTCAATGAGCTCCTACAGGACTCCACCCAAGGCTATAGAGAACAAGTTGCTTTTTGTATGCTTTTCAGTTGTCTGCTTGATGACCAGGCTTTCCTGACCAGTTCCACCCTGACTCACTTCCCTTTGCCCTTCTGAGAAGTTATTCCTTCTTTTTTCTTTCTTTCTGTCTTCTTTTTAATCTCTACATACAACTTTCCTCTACCAACTTCCCTGATTGTCACCAGTAGTAAAGTCTTCATTGAAAGAAGGAGAAATTGAAGGTGACTAAAGAGCTCTATGGCTAAAATGACAAAGACAGGGCTTAGCATTTTTATATAGCTTCAAAGAAATTTTTTTAAATATTTATTTTTTAGTGATAGGTGGACACAACCTATTTATTTTAGTTTTATGGGATGCTGAGGATCAAACCCAGGGCCTCACACATGCTAGGCGAGCGCTCTACCTCTGAGCCACAACCCCAGCCCAGCTTCAAAGAAATTTTAATGGTTTTAAATAACTACAATAGCAAATAAAAGAATTGGATGGCATTACCCTAAGACAATAATGATGAGTTGGTTTTCCTGGACCCTAAGAGCCCTGATAGCATGACTCTACCTTGAAGCTTCTTCTGTTGGTGGTTCAAATCTGTGGTTAAGTGAGGCTGGGGGCAGGGGAGGGTGCATTGAGAGACTCACCTCAGCAGTGCTCCTTCTGCAGGTAGAATTAACCTGCTAAATGGGAGGCATTTACTAGTGATAAGCTTTCATACACTCCATGGTGGGAGAAAGGAAAGAAATAACAAGTATTAATTTCATATATGTTGCAAAAAATCTCTCTTCTCCACTGTGTGAAGATAAAAAGGAAGTGGTGTGGCAGTGGTAAAATGAGGTGATTTTGTGCTAATTGATGCTGAATACAGAGGCAAATAAATCACATTTAATGAGTATAACATACAAGTGGTTTCACCAAATGATTGCAAAATGCAATTTCCCAAGAGTTTTTAATGAGAAAGAAATTTTTAAAATATTATCAGTTAAAATGCAGTCTGAGTCTTAAAAAATACAGTTAATGTAAGCATCCTGACAGACTGCAGGAGAACGCAAACTCAGGTCTATGCTTAGAGCAGATGAAACCAGTTCTGCTCAAATTCATATGGGAATATAAATTGTTTTAAGTTCTAAATGACAGACTCATTAAATTTGTTATTGCTTTATAAGAATCTTAAAAATCTGTTTTCTGTGGTTGATAGTACATTGTGGATTTGAGGAAAAATAGTAATGATTTGTGTGGCTTTTGTGTGTATGGAAACATCTTATGGAATTTTTTCATGGTTAAAAAGAAAGGATAACACCTATAAAATATGAGGTCTGGAGATAAGTCTTGGAAAAGGATTCAGAGGTTAGAAAATAAAACACAGGAAGGATGAAATTCTTCAACTTGGGTGAAGAAAAGGTTTTGTCTTTAACAGGGTTTTATCTTACCTTTTTCTTGTTAAGTAAGCTTCAGTCCTTCAGATAGGCAGATTTTTTTACTCTGTCCATTTCTAAACTGGATACGCCTTTGCTGCAGGTGGGAATAATTTGGGATGATTGTGTTACTTATATAATACTGATATGTCTCCATGCTTTTGTAGAATAATGCTAAACTGCTCAATTCAAAGGCTTTCTCTCACCAGGAACTGACTGTACTTACAAAGATCCTGGGGGCCACAACTGCTTGGTCAAGCAACTAATAATGCATATATTTTTCTTTCTCAATAAGCAGATTGATGAATCTATTAAAGCTAGAAGGTAAACATCTATAAATCAGCACTTTTCCCAAAACTTATATTACAATTTTTTTAATCCTACACAGGAAGAATTTAATGGAAAACCTGACTCCCTATTTTTTAATGATGGTCAAAGAAGAATCGACTTTGTTTTAGTGTATGAAGATGAAAGTAGAAAAGAGACCAATAAAAAGGGTACAAATGAAAAACAAAGGGTAAGTTTTTTTCTATTTTCTTTTTTATTCCTTATAATATTGTAAAATGAAAAAGAAGTGTTATTTTTATGTAAGTAATAAAGTGACATTGGTGTTGAAAAATCATTTACCAAACATAATTTCATTATTTTCTGTACTCTTGTTCCCTCAAGACATATTAACAATTTTTAAAAAATTTTGAAATAGAAACTTCTTCAGACTCTTCATTTGGTTTCATACTGAAGGCTGACTTTCTTTGAAGGAATTGTGCTTTCTACTGTGAAGAACAGACTTCTATTAAAGCAAACCTGGCTATTTGCAACTGGGTAGAAAAGGAAGCTAAAGATTAGTGACGACAGTGTAGTAACTATCTTCCAGTGTATGCTCACTCAAGTGCTGTAGGTGTGTTTTGCATTTTCTCATTTAATTCTCGTCACACCATGAACTGAGTTCTGTAATCACGCCATTTTGTAAATGACACAGTTGACCCTTAAGAGAGGTTAAATAATGACTCAAGATTATGGATGCTGATCCGAATAGTAGTGGAGCCAGGGTTCAAACTCTTGTCTTGAATCTAGAACATGAGCTCTTGGCTACTGGTGTTTTCTGTTACCTCCTTTTCTTCCCTTTCATCCTTTGCCACTCAGGCTGCTTCCTTCTCCCTTTCCCTTGCTTCAAGCTGTTTCAGGAAACAGGGATGTACTTATCTGGAGATATTGAAGCAGTAGGGCCAGGGTTATAACAACTGCCTGGGACTTCTTTACCTAAACCCAAATTGCATTATTCTCCAACAGGAGGAAAGGAGTGCACACTGATAAGCATCACTTTACTCATTTTGGAAATCATCCCCTTGGTCTTTATTCTCCACCCCTCACATAGGTGTTATGACATGTATATGACCTTAATTGTCCCTCTCTGTACTTTCTCCCTTAAATATAACAATCTCAAGTCTATTAATTTTTTTAAATAAACCAAGCAAAGAAACATTTTTAAAAATGGAGCAATTAGTCTTGGTTTATTTATGTGTTTAAATTTGGAGGTGCTTAAGTTTGGAGTTTTGTATTTACATGTTGCAACAGAATAAGCCCCAGGCTTTGGAAATCTGAAATTTACATTTTAATTCTGCCACTGCACTATTTGGAGTAATTCTAGTCTTAACAAATGAGTTCTCAGATGACAATGGTTTAACAATAAAAAGATTTATTGCTGTGTCAAAATTAAAGGTGACCTTGGGTTTGGCATGTGGTTTGGAGTTGGGCTCTGTCCTTGAAGTCATTAAGGGTCCCAGCCAACACAGAGGCTCGGATACATTCAACAGGTAGTTCAGGGTCATCCTATCAACACAAATAGTAGATAAGATGAGAGAGAGGATGGAGAAAGAACTCCTGCTTCTTCTCCACCTTGGTCTGGAAGTCACTGCAGGGATTGTGCTCACATTCCATCACTCGGGCCTGAGGAAGGTAGAAAGCATTGTTTGTGATAGGGTAGTTACCAGGAAAATGTTCTTATCAATATTGTGTTTTTTTCAAATTTTTTTTTTTTTTACATTTAACATCTCTGAAATCAGATTGCATCTGGTATATAAATGGTGATCATACTTTTATTGGACAAAATTATTATTTTTGGTACATAAAATATTGGCTCACCACATACTCAGTGGCATCTTACGTTCAGGAAAATGGGATCCCAACACCTAGTCCCTGGGAATATGAATAAGATTAGGTAAAATAACATATGATGCTGTTACATAAATTTTAGCCTATATCACATAGTTCATTTATGTGTCTTCCTCACATCTTATTTGGAGCTTATGAAAAGACATGGCTCTCAGACAATTTTATCACTGGAGCAAAATATCTTAGAGCACTTTTCCTGTGGACTCTTAAGACATTCTGTGCAGTCATAGTCACCATTATCAAATATTCATTAAGTGTCCATATGCCAGTGGAGCAGAATTGAGACTAAAGTTAAGTTAAACAGAGCTAATCCATTAAAGTATAAAGGAAACAGTTCTGGTTTTAGACAAGAGCTTTACTGCCATGGTGAAGGGGCCCTAGAGCTACTTACATTATTAATAGACTCTGCATTTGTGCTGGAAAAAACATAGGTCCCAGGATAACCCTTATAAATCAGGAGGAAAAAATAATCATTAATTTTGGAAATTCTTGAATCCATGGATTGATATACCTTGATGTTGGTTTTTATGATCTGTGCTTTGAAGTATTTTCAGTTTGTATTTGTACATATTACTTAATTTATACGCTACCAAAATTCAAAGCTCAACTTTGGAATCATGTTTTTTTTCTTTTAATCTGAAAAACATTTTCAAGTTCTATCATACTCCTTGTCAGGGCTTATTGAGGATTTAGGACAATACCAAGGGAAGGCAATTTCAAACTCCTGTTTCTTTTGAAAGAAAAAATATGTGTAAATCATATTGATTTCCTAAAACAGCACTAAGGTTGACTTCACCAGGGTTTATTGAAAAACTGTTGTTAAACATGTTGTAGTGCTGTAAAAATATAGAAGTAATAGGGCCACAAACACCAAAAACACAGATACAGCCATTTAAGCCTCTGTTTATCTCCTCATGAGCAAGAGAAAATCCTGTTCTAGCCAAACATCCGATAGCAGGTAGCTTTGTTCCTTATGTAGTGAAATCACTTCAGAACTATTACACCTTTCTTTAATAGCATGAACTCTTGTTATGTAGATTTTACATGGGGACTTGTATAAACTATTTCCATAAGCACTCATTTCAGCTTATACTATGCTTGGCACAGAATCAGTCTGGGTATTTTTCATTGCAAGTCACAAGAAAACTAAGTTCAAAAATGGCTTCAATGCTGGAAGAAAATAATTTTGTTCTCATTTAACAAATAGTCTGGATATAGAACCATCTCTAAGCTAGAGAATTTATTGGCTTAATGAAGCCATTCCATCCTTCTACCCTGCCATCCTCAGTATTTGGCTCTCCCTTAACTGACTTCATTTGGTTGTAAGTTGGCTGCTACAACTTTAGTTAGCCAGAGGCAGAAATAGGGGACATCCTTTCTCATGCCTCCCCCTTTTAAAGACAAGAAGCCCTTAGAAGGGCCCTTAGCAGTCTATTGTCTATTATAGTTTATTCCTCAGTCTATCACGTTTGGCCCTCCATATCTGTTAGCTCTGCAGCCACAGATTAAACCAACTGCAGATAGAAAATATTCACAGAGAAAAAATGGCATCTACACTAAACACATACAAATGTTTTTTCTTGTCATTATTCTCTACACAATACAGTATAACAACCATTTACATAGTATTAGGTATTATTCATAATCTAGAGATGATTTAAAATTTACAGGAGAATGTAGGTTATATGCAAATTTTATATCAGACATTTGCGCATCCATGAAGTTTGTGGTCCAGTCAATCCAATCCCTGGGTATACCAAGGGACTACTGCTAGTAAGATGAATGGAGTTACCTTCCACCGCATAGACTAATCAAGACTCGTCTAATTTATCTCTTGAATCACCTGATCATTCAGTATCTGAAAAACATTCAGCCTTTTCTTTGTAATAAATAAGGGGAGAATGGCTGTTCACAGCAGCCAGCAATGTCTGGCATAGTACATGATTAACATAGCTAACTGTGTTTGATCCATACTGTTTAGAGCAAAGAAGTTTTAAATAAAACAAATCCCTGTTTATTTCTCCAACTCTGAGTACACAATTTTGTTTAGTAGTTGTTTCTTTTTTCAAACTTCCTTTTACCAGAACTGCTAACAAGTGGCAGGATTGCTCTATTTTGGATTTTATTTTGTCTGTATCTCCCTTCAGACAGATGTGTTCATGACCATGTAATGGTATAATTCAGATGATGGTAAAAGAAAGTGGAGGGGTCTAGACAGCATAAAAATAATGTAAGCAATTCTGGATATGTGTTTTACTTATATTTTAATCTATTCCTAAGGGTTGATGGAAACTTAATATCCTTGAAGGTGAGGAAAAGTTGGTATATGGAAGCATATATTTGTATTCTTATCTGGCATTAAGGATTCTTTAGTGTGCAGTAGGAAGCTCTGGCTCACAGAGAATGTAGAGTAAGGAATTTTAAATAAATTGATGATCAAGTTCATTATATAACTAAATATGATTTTATCCACACTTGCAAATACTGTGAGACAACTAATTGGCTTCAGATCCTGTAAGCTTTAAAAATCGTTATGCATTATTTCATACTAATTAGTCTAAGGCCAAATTGTTTGCTTAGAAGCCGAATGAGATCTTGTTGAGAATATTTAAAACTTTATCAGGAAGTTTTAGTATGATGAACACAGTATATTACTCCATTTAATGAGGTCTTAAATCTTGTAAAGTTTCATAACGATGTCCATGAAGATCTTGTACATTTTTATTAACTTTTCTTAATTATTTTAAAATTTTGTTGCTGCTGTCAAAAACATTTTATGTTGCAGCTTATGGCTTATGGTTATGTGTAAAAGAAGTCTGTTGATTATTATGTGTTCTACCCAGGAACCTTGATAATTCTTTTTAGTTCTAATAGTTTCCAGTGCTGTTTTTTAAGTTTTTTCAGATAAAGACCATCTTGTCTACAAAGGACTGTATGTGGTTATTTTTGATTGAGATAACTGAGATTTTGATTGAGATAATTGAGATATTATAGATAACTCAAAAATTGATTCTTACTGGCCTTAAAGATGTATATAATTTTCATAGTTATATGCTGTCTATGCTAATACTACATTAAATATTTACATTTTTTAAGTATTTGATGCTTATTTGTGGAGTATTAAAAATGTTAAACATATAGATGTAGAGAATAAAATGGTGGTTACCAGGGGTTAAAGAACACAAAATTTCAGCCTGGAAGAAGTAAGTTCAAAACATCTATTATGTAGCATGCTCATTATAGCTTGCTAATGTACTGTCTTGTTGAAAATTGCTTAAAGATTAGATCTTAAGTGTTCTTACCACACACAAAACATGTGTAATGCATATTAGTTCAATTTAGTCT